AGAAAGCTTTTCTTAGGTACAAGACATATCCACAAAAAAATAGGTGTTCAGATCTGGGTTATCATGTGAAAAAAAAATTAATTATTAATAATAATAATTTATTTAAAGTCAATTACACAGGGGGTGGTTGCCCAGATCTTCCGAGCCAGAGGCTCATGACAAAAGTGACTGACAGCACCCGATTCGCTCGAAATTAACCGCTTACATGCGGATTCAATTAGCATCAAATTAACGCATACAAACAGTCAAAGTAGGGCCTATTTACCTATCATGAGCTTGTGACGTATACCGTCAAAATATTTGTGCCCTTTTCTGACCCCTTTGTCAGGATCAGGTAATGGGAAACAACAACCTAAAGGTTCACGTTGTGCAGGGAAACAAAGCAGCTAGTCAAAGGGGTCAGAAAAGGGCACAAATATTTTGACGGTATACGTCACAAGCTCACGATAGGTAAATAGGCCCTACTTTGACCGCTTGTATGCGTTAATTTGATGCTAATTAAATCCGCATGTAAGCGGTTAATTAAAGGTGAATCGGGTGCTGACAGAGAAAAAGAACAGTCAGCATTAATTTTTACAGCTCCACCCCTTAAAGTATTCACAAAACTGCCAGCCAGCCAAACATGCTGGGCACTTCTTTAAAACCAATGTCTGAGATCTGCAAAGGAGGAAATGTTAAACATTTCTGCCAAACTGATGAGCAAGTCTGACAACCTTGGCTTACTTTGGAAAAATGGTGATAGCTGATAGCTCCTAAATTTTTATTAAGGAAAGTAAATTTAATATGGATTTAAATGTGTGTCTACAGTATTTTATATTTTAAAATACTCCTACTTGTTTTGTATAAATATCAGTCACTTTTTTTTAACTTGCTCACACAGCACCACTGTTGTCAAAGTCTGTATTTTGCAATCCTGATAAGAATATTACCTGTGTCAAAGGAATTCTTGAAATACAAGGCTTCCTTTCAAAACCACTCAGTGGATATGGCCATTATTGTCTTTATCTCCACTTATATTATTGCTACCTCAAAGTCTTAGTGTTTGAGACTTTTATTTCAATTTAGACTTACAGCATTTTCATTAAAGGGGAATATGATCACATTTAAAACCATAAAGAAATTTCCAAAGATGTTCCTAATTTTCTTGAAGATGTCATGATGAGATTGGAATTTTCATCCTGCAGGTGTGAGAATCACGCTCAAGGTGGGAGAACTGACAAGAATACTATCTGTACATGTACTATGATCACTTTCTTCAATATAATATTCCTGTTGCAAATCATTTCCAACCTCAGATCAAATGTAAAAATTATTTCTTAACAAAGATGCTTCAATCAACCATAACTTTCTTCTAAAAACAATTTACTGATACACAAACGTTTGCTAATAGAGCAGATTTTTCTCACATTCTGTATTCAGCAGAGCATTTCCAAGCAGTGGCATTTTCTTGACTAAGAGCATTCACAGCTCTTCGGTAGGCTTCCTCTGGGGTAAATCCCACAAGCTTTGTCCCATATAACTTGACATTTTTCTTTGCAGCCATTTCTCTCACTCTATTTTCAATTTCTTCAGGACTTGTGTATTGAAAAAGCCCTTCACTTGAAACTTCCTGCAAGTAAATCGAGGAGTTGATCATACATTGTAGCCTGGTGGTAAGCACAACGTGTTTCAGGCAGCTAAGTTCTGGTTCAGACTCTGCCTGAGTCACTGCATTGAGTTCTTGAGCAAGACACTTAACTCTCACCAGTCTCTCTCCACCAAGGGGTATAAATGTGCACTGGCGTACAATTAAGGAGTGTGAGACATGGTGCCATAATGGTTCACACTGTTAGCACCTGCCCCAGGTTGTTCCAAAATTTGATAACACTGTCCAGTGGATTACTCTCTATTCAGTGTATAGTGCAGTATGTTTTGCAATCACTTATCTGCTGGATAGCAATTTATCTTTTGAATAGTGTTACCAGCCCTATGCACAACTGGGCCCTGGGCTCTAAGTGGAGACATGTGGGTTGAAGACTGACAGTATTATTCTGTTGTTATCTTTGGCACAACACTTAAGACTGACAGTGTCCCTCTTCAGCCAGAAGTATAACTGGGTACTTACTGATAAAATGTCAAGGAAACCTGAGAAATTCTTACAGGAAAGGTTTCAATGAATGAAGAATAACAATACCCCCTCACAAAAGAAGTGCACAGTAAAGCATAAAAGGAGAGGGGGGATATATGAAATTGGTTTTTCCTGTGTGTGTCCCTAAATCTAGTCAAAGATTATGGGTTCACTATTAGGTGATTGCCCAAGGTAAAGAAATCAGAGAAAAGGGGGCTTAATTTATATCATTTGTATTGTCCTTGGTTTAATTAGATTCTCTTTGCTTAGTTTGAGCATTCTTGATCTTAATTCCCCCACCCCTCCTCTCTCTCTCTCTCTCTCTCTCTCTCTCTCTCTCTCTCTCTCTCTCTCTCTCAATACCTACCTTTGAAGCTTCAACATTACAGGCAATTTCAACCCTTCCTTCATGTTTGAATGCCATAGATTGCACACCAGCCAAGCCACCAGGAGTTGTTGCACGGATTGCCTTGGCAATGTCTTTTCCAAGCTGCAAGTCTTGACAGTCTATACTGACATTGCAATTGGTGACATATGGAATGGCACCAATTCCAGTACAGCCATACCTCTGGGAGGGAGGGGAGCCAAGATCCCAACCTACCCTACTGAAATCCATACCATGTACCCCCTGATACCAGTTAACAGCTTTTCGCCTCTCAACCAGCCCCCTGACTAAAGGCTGGTCTGCATGGCCAAATAAAAATACAGAGGTCCCTTTTATACTGTTAGCAATGCGTGTCCCAAGTTTAAGGGCTATCTGACCACATTCTGCAAGAGACACTTCAGGAGAAATTGTATGGATAGGGACAAGGTCTACAGATCCAAGCCTGGGATGACCTCCTTCATGTTTTTCCAAGTCTATCTCTTTGTAAGCCACCTGGCAAGCACGCAACACGCTCTCTTCTATGTTTTCCACCGGAGCTGCGATGGTTATAACTGATCTATTGTAATCGCGGTCAGAGAAAATGTTCAGAACTGTTGAAGAACACTTGAAGCTATTTGATTTGGAGGGGAAATTTAGTGCTGCATTAGCAACTGATTCTACTATTCCTTTATTTCGTGCTTCGGAGATGTTCAGTAAACAAGCCACAAGTCGAAAGGCGGGAGAACAGGTACTCATAGCTTCTCTCCTCCAAACGGACGAAGTGGAAAGAAAGCGATTTGAAAGAACTCTTCTTATTGGCTTTTTCATTTTTGCAGCTTTTCGCGGGGAAAATAAAACCAATCACAAGGCTCCTTGTCCCTTGTAAACGTGTTTGGATTTGGTCAGCGGTTTCAAGCATAAAATTAAAGGCGGTCTTAATTATAATACTAATTAGTACGTTGCTATATTTCAGATGAAGAGATGTCTTTCGTTCGAATCCGTCTTACTTTCCAACACTCTCTGCCCCATACTGAGGTCAAGAACTGCTGGTTTCTTTTTGATACTTCCTCTTGTAGCACGATCGCTGACTTAGAGTATTTGATTAGGAAAAGATTCAAGGGACCTTCGAAGAGTTGTCACGTGGTGAATCTGTTCCTCGACGATTTCCTTCTTCCTTCGCAAGAGAAGATAGAGATCATTCAAAATAATGATCACATAAGGTGTCTATTTCCCTTAGTTTATATTCCCAACTTGTATGTTTGGTATATATTTAGTATACTGGGCTGGTGCGTCGGTTTACAACGTCAGACTGTCATGATTTCCCACCCTTCTTAAAATTATAAACATACATGTGCTTGTGGTCTTCTCTCCTTCAAAGCATGAACTCATTAATGCCCTATCCTCTTTCCTTTTCCTGAAAAACCTCTGCATTTTTCTTCACAAAAATTACCTATTACAGAGCTTGCACAATTTAAAGTATAGGGCTGCAATCTAGCAGCGCCCGGTTGCCCTGGCGCCTAGCTTACTTTTGGTTCTTGGGCGACTCAGGAATCTTATTTTTTTTTATAAAAAGCATATTCTGGACACCCTCGATTTCACAGTTTCAGAGCACTGGGCTCCCTTCAATTTTTCTTAGAGCACAGCCTTGGAGTATATGGGAATAAACTAATACTGAATTCACCTACTTACAAAGTCTTTTATTTTTGTCTGCATATTTGACAAAGAGTGGAGATCCAACAAACAACAGGAAAACAGACAGATGAAGATGGAAGAGATGAACAAAGTGAGTGGAATGCACCATAATTGCAAACAGCTGTTCAACCCAAAGCCTCACAAAGCTGTTAAAACATCAAACACAATTTTTTTCAAATAAAATCATTTGAATATATCAACAAAGTTGAAATGGTAAATTGGCCACCATTACGATTATAAAAGCTGACGTTTCGAGTGTTAGCCCTTTGTTGGAGCGAATACAGGAATTGTGGGTTGTGTGTGCTTTTAAAGGATGAAAATGGAGCTACGTTATTGGTGGGAACATGGCAACGAGAAAAACACGAATAATTATTCATGTTTTTCTCATTGCCATGTTCCCACCAATAACGTAGCTCCATTTTCTGAAAAACATGAATAATTATTCATGTTTTTCTCATTGCCATGTTCCCACCAATAACGTAGCTCCATTTTCTGAAAAACACAAATAATTATTTGTGTTTTTCTTGTTGCCATGACCCCACCAATAACATAGCTCCATTTTCTGCCTTTAAAAGCACACACAACCCACAATTCCTCTATTTGCTCCGACAAAGGGCTAATGCTCGAAACAGCAGCTTTTATAATCGTAACGGTGGCCAATTTACCATTTCAACTTTGTTGATATAATCAAATTATTTCATTACCCCCACCGACGCAGCCCCAAACAGTTTCTTTAGAAACTATCAGCCTTTATTCATTTTTGAAAGTGAAACTACAGCATAGAATCAAGTTTGTTAAAAATAGGCACAGATGCATTTAATTAGATTTTTTCTTTGACTTTGGTAATCCTCATGCAGCTACTTGTTTATAGCAGCAGAAAACAAAGTGGAAAGGAAGAGAAAAAAGAGTAGTTTACCAGATGCAAGGTATCAATTTTCAACCTCTCTACTTTTTATTCAGATTAACAAAAACATTTCTGTGGCAAAATGTATCAAGATATGTCATTTGAAGCACTTCTTTACATGAGCCCTTAGGTAAGGAGACTAGACATCTACTCTGTGTGTTATCAACTGACCAGCCAGCTGACTTTACTCAACAGAAAAGAGTAAAAAGTAAAGTTTGAAATGGCTGGGCTCTTAACTAGGTTCACATTACAGTACCACTCAAAAGTAAGTCACCTCTTCTCCTCTTGTTTCTCTTGAGACGCATCTTGTTTCTCTGAAGACATACCTTTTTTGTTTCTTTTTCCACTACACTGTCCCTGAACAGAGAAAAGATCAGTTCTAGGTACAATATACCATATCTAGAAAGAGGTCATAACTTACGCAGGGGGATAAAATGAACATACAAGGATTTGCTTCATGTTCTTCTTTAAGGCTGGATTTTATGTGATGTGAAAATCCCCAAAGATCACACATTTCATTGTTTCCTTCCCTCCTAGACTTTGGTGATGTGTTTTTCAAATAATATTTAGGTGTCATTGCTACAAATTAAAATCCTCAATGTTGTATTTTTTGTTGGACTGAGACCAAGCAGTTGAGGATGGGTAGTGAGCTAAATACTATATAACAGACTCAAAACAACCATGTCTCAATTAGATGGCTGACTGTTAAAGTGCACCTACACCCAAAAAATTTTTTTCGCTTAACGAAGTAAGCTTATTTTTTTGAGTATTTCTGCGCAAAAATTTTTTTATTTGCTCAAATCTTCAATTTTCTATGCCCAGTCAAAATACGGAAAATCGGCCGCCATCTTGCCCCACGACCGAGTTTAAAGAAGAATGGCTCTAGCGGGTAATGTGACGTCAAATCGAGAACACGAAAGTCTGCATCTCACACATTTTCACTTGTTTGGGAAGATTGTCGTCGATATTGTCCGAAATATGCCGACTAGGTGTGTTGTATGAAGAATGTATGAAGCGCGATACCCTCTTGCAAATTTCGCACGTTGCTACATCCTTCTACAACACACTTAGTCGGCATATTTCGGACAATATCGACGACAATCTTCCCAAACAAGTGAAAATGTGTGAGATGCAGACTTTCGTGTTCTCGATTTGACGTCACATTACCCGCTAGAGCCATTCTTCTTTAAACTCGGTCGTGGGGCAAGATGGCGGCCGATTTTCCGTATTTTGACTGGGCATAGAAAATTAAAGATTTGAGCAAATTAAAAAATTTTTGCACAGAAATACTCCAAAAAATAAGCTTATTTCGTTAAGCGAAAAAAAAATTTTGGGTTTAGGTGCACTTTAAAAAACGTTAATGGGAAACATCAAGAAAGTAAATGGATGTGAATTTATTCCTCTTCCATCCCTGATGATTGGGGATGTCGACAATTCCAAGTTTTCATAAATTGACAACATCTGGGATGGTCTGGAAACAGTGAAATCCCTTTCTTTGTGAGATTTTATGGCGCATAAAAATCAGCCTTTGTTGATGACATTTTACATGATCTTCCAGGGATAAACTGAAAAAGAAGCAAGTTGAGGAGAACAAACAGGGTTTTAGTACTAAAAAGATCAAAGGGAATCACTTACCGAAGAAAAGAGTACGAGATGACAGTGAGACACCAAAGGATAGTAAAAGGGCCAAGAGAGAACAGAAACTTGTAAGAAAAGAGGCAAAAAAAGAAGCAAACAGAAGACACAAATCAAAATTATCTTCAGTTGTAGAAAGTGATGTTGGTGCTTTGCTATTACAAGAGAGAAGTTCTACAAAAGTTTTTTCACCATCCTTGACAAGTACCGGTACAACAAGCTCACAAATGAAAAAATTGAATAAACCTTCAAAAGGAAAATCTGCAATTCAGCAGAAGCAAATGAACGAAATCAAGCTATCTTTGCAAGGTGATATTCATAAAAGAAAAGAACCTTCAGTGCCTTTGAAAACAAGTTCAAAGAAAGGCAAGACAAGTGGAAAAGTAATACTTGGTGGTGGTAGAAATGTCAGCGACAGCACTTCCTCTGAGAGTTCAAGCTCAATAGATGAATCAGGAACCTCAAATTCACCATCCAAGGTGAAGAAAAATGGAAAAGTAACACTTGTGGGTGGTAGAAATGCCATTAATAGTGACAGTACTTCCTTTGAGAGCTCCAGCTCATCAGATGAATCAGGACCCTCAAATTTACCATCTCTTACAGATGTCGCCCAAAGAAGGGTTGATACTGATGAGTTGAAAAAAGACGCTCACAGCATAATAATGGAAACAAGTGAATCACAAGGAAAGAATAAAAGTGATACTATTCCTCAATCATCTTTGACTTTATGTGATATAACTGAGGGAACAAGAAATGGCAGATCTTTTTCATTGTCATCCAAAGCCTCTAGCAGTTTGGAAAAGTCTGGGGACTCTTCCATTTTTTCTCACAAAAGTGGGAAGCTGAACTCAAGAATTGAGAGCAACAGCAAGAAAACTTTGTCATCCTTAGAAAACCCAGCATCGTCATCCAGAATGTCATTCCAGTCACCTAGCTCTGCATATAGTCAGACACAAACAGGAGGTGCAAATAATAGGTCTGTTGAGCAATCTGCCAGTGGCTATAATGCCAAGCAAATGAACAAATCTGGACAAGTGTGGCCTCTCATAAGTATAAATGGAAGACCTAACAACAAGCCAGGTATAGTCATGGTAATTACCGTCAAAGATATTGGGATAGACACTCTTGGCAGATTTCATTTTACAAAACTCCTTTTTAATGGAAACTCACTTGGTGTGTTCATGGTTATGAGCTTTTGTTGTATTAGTGAAGTTGTATTTTTGGCAGCAAAAGTCTACCTTGAGTTTGGTCCAGAAAGTAACGAGATCTTACAAGAGACTTCTTGATGTGATGATTATTAAAATTGTGGGTCTCAAAAAGGCTGATGGCATTATTATTGTATGAGAAATGATAGAGATAACATTCAGCCATGTAAAACAGGTCATTTAGGGAGTAAAATGGAACATCTCAAAGTCTTTAAAATTTTTCAATTTTTTCCATTGATATTAATAATTGACAGGTGTGGCAGCTTAAGTGAAAATGATACCTTGGCAGAAAATTTTTTTTCATTCATGCTTACCAAGATTTTCACCCTCCTCACTCCCCGTTAGAATCCAGTCAACAAACCAGCCACATAAGATTTGATTCAGAGGAGTCTGAAGAAGAAAGTATAGACAAACAGCAGGAAGACACTGGTTTGACAAATGGAAGCTCAGAACACCCACTAACCAATGCAGGTTCAACTTCATATTTTCCACCATGCACACAAAGTATGCTACCAAAGACCCCCAAGACAGCTGTCAGTGAAAGTAAGGTAATTCCCATAAACAGGACATAATCTTCAGATGGGGTTCCTTTTTTTAAACAATGGGGTCATTTGACGTGTTTTCGTATTTGTGCCAGTTGTTCTAGGCTTTCTTTACCAAGTTCTACATGATTCAATACTTGAGCAAAGAGGAAAACTGTTTTGGCTCTTTAACCAAGTTCCACATGATTCAAAACTTGAGCAAAGAAAAAAACTGTTTTGGCTCTCTAGAGCCTATTTTTCTGTCAGGGCTAAGATTTTTCACTAAGGTGAATTAAAATTCTGCCTAATCTTGCAAAGGCACAAGACAACTGAACCTCTTTATCATCTTCACTGCTTAGAGAAAAAAAAAGGCAAATTTCAATTGTAAAAAAAAACACTTTGTTTATTTGCAGTCATTGTGGACATGCATTTCACATGGCCCACCTCAATTAGCACTGCTATCTGCGGAGCCAGGGGAATAAGGATTTATTGTCAAATAACAAATAAATATTGTATTGTATGTTAAAACATCCTCCAATATAAGATTTTCTTGAATAAATGCTTTTAATAACAATGTTATAGTCTTTTTTTATATTGTCTAGCGGTCAACAACGCAAGATTACAGTCTTTGTACACGACTTCATGGCCCTCCCAGAATTGGGGATAAAATAGCTTATAAGGTTGGTGATGTACATGAAAAAATTAATTTTTGATATTTTATTTGTCTGTTTATTTGTTTGATTATTAATTATGTTATATAGACAGAAATACAGAATTTGGTGAAAGCTAATAGAGATGGGGTACCATACGTAACTGACATCAATAATATAGAAAATGAACAGATGGGAAAATGCAAAAGAGTTTATTCAACATTATGTCGACAGAAGCCTAATTAATTTTAGCATAATAGTTTTTTGCTTGTTTTACAGGCTGAAAACTATTATGGTTTACATTGATTGGTACAATTCCTTAAAATCTTCACAATTTTTCTATTCTTGTTAAGGAAAGTCATGGTATTGATAATAGTAGTAATGATAATATGTAAATCTATAATTTCGTGGTTAAAGTACGGATCATTTCCATTATAATAAAGAAAAAGGAAAGACCAAGATTCTGGAGAAATCTTAAAGAAAGCAGTGGATAATGCATATACTACACTGCATCCTTTGTGAATGAAACCTTTTACTCCCAGAAGTGATAAAGATGTAACTTCTCCCTGTAATAACCGTACATAAGTCTGCAAACAGGTAATAAGAATATTTAAACTGATCAGGTAGGAGTTGTTATCTTGTTCTAACACCAAATTCTCATTGCTGATTTACAAAGAAATGTGTAGCAGTCAGAGGGGAGAGTTAATGATTAGATCTTGGAAGTTTAGAGTAAAAGGTTAGGACACAGCTGAGGAGGGTGGTGTAAACCTCTTGTTTTGGCAAAGTGATCATTAGCAATAAGCCACGTTGGTACCTTCCTAAATTCCAATAATATCTAGTTATAAGCAACCCATATTAAAATATCCCTCCCCCTCTCTACGTTGTGATAATCAGACATACTCTGGCTTAAAAGGTTGAATTTGTGATTGTGCCCTAGTCTTAATTTGTTTGTTGTTTGTTTTCGTTTTTGTTTTTGATTTTGTTTTTTTTCTCTTTATTTAATTACTTTTCACAGTGTTGAGGTTTAAGCCCTGGCCGCACACCATAGTTAAAACTGTGACATCCTTCTTTCAGCAGTGTACATTGCGGTTTATCGATCTTTTCAGAGCGCTTTTCAATTTAGTCACAAAAAATCAAAACCAAAGTAACCGAAGGCCGATCAGAGAAAAGGAAAACACCTTTTAAGAGTAAGTGAGAACTCGAAGTAAAAAAAAAATATATATTCTTAAAGCGCGGGAAAACGCACTTGATTGGTTTTATATTTGCATCTGATTGGTTGAGAGGGCGATGCGAGTTTTACGGACCAATCACAGAACGAAGTAAAGCGAAACCCATACAATCTCGGATTAATTTCGAAAAGGGGCTTCTCTCTAGGAGGTAGCCTTTGCTAAAAAGTAAGGATGAATGAAAGGTTGGTAAATTTGCACGACTAATAAGGGATTGTGCTTTGAAAGAAACACGCGCATCTTGTTTACGAGGACTGTCACAACAACGGGAAACTTGAAAATTTTCATACAAGTGGCCAATTTCTCTCATGGGACTATGTGCGTTTTTGGTATTTTAGCCATAGTGCAATCCCCTTTAACGAAAGAAAATGAACGGCGGAAATCTGTTTCACTTAAGAGTGGGAATGACACAACATTTGATATTCTTAAATCCGTATTCAATTTTCAGTATGCTGACGTAGAATTGAAAAGTTACCTTCCATTTTAGCACCATGTATACCATAGCATCTGACAGCACAAATGCGACTGAAAGTGCCATAAGCTGAGTCATCCACTTCATCTTCGATTTGTAACTACAAATATCTTCCCACACGAAAACCCAAACTTGCTCTTTCCGCGAAAACGAGTAGAGCAAATGATTGACGTCACAATAGCTCCTTATGATGGAGGCCGCGCGAGGAAATCGCTAAAATTCGGTCTCAGGCCTCTTCATTTCAGATATTCCGTGAAGCCAGTGTGAAATCGTAGTTTGTAGAGTTGACCGGTTAGGAAACCCGCCAGAATTATTTGCTACAAGGTCATTGTTGGTTTTTGTGGACCCTTCTATGCACAAGTGTTAGCAGTACATGTATTCTCGTCACGCTGAACGGAATGGCTATTGATCCTTTACAACCTAACATCAGCGTTCATATTCTCTACACTGTTGCTTTTAACATTTCCAATGGCAGTAATAAGGAGAATTTGTTTAATAATCAGGGGCTTCTTAAATTAGTGATCATTTTCTTTATTCTCATGAGCGTTGTTTTTGATGTAAGGGTGGTAACGTGGGGAGAAATTGGAAGCTAATCGCTCTCAGATGTGAAAGAGGTAATTAGGCCACAATTTGTGATCATATGCTTCGTCCGTGAGCAGTGTTCTTCATTTATTTTTGCTGGGTTGTTATTACTTTTTTAATTTCTTCTCGTTCAACAGGTACTTGAACTTTCCGCCTCCTATACTCCTGAAATTTCAGACTACAAGGTACGTTAGACCACGTATCTTTGTAATGATTGATTTTTTATGAACAACTTTCGTGTCAATTTTGATTTTTCTTTTGTCATCTTCGATAACTGCTTGCAGTTAGAAACTCTTGGGAAACAAAGACCGTTTTCTTCCGCGGAATCAAGCGTTTCAGCCCCCAGCGTGAAGCTCATTTCCCCGCGCCTGTTTAACGCGCTTGGTGTACTGTACTGGGCACTCATCGCATGTTAGATCTTTGACTTCCGATAACTGTTCGTTGAGATTTGCCGGAGAGGATTTCGTTTTGTCCATGAAAAAAAAAAAGCATTCTGCGTTTCCGTATCCAATTTACAAAAACAGTTGTCTCCTAAGATATTAGTGTTTTGTATTGCTTTGCAGGAAGGAACTGTTCTTGCTTTTGATCCAAGCAGTGGAACTGTTAAGATAGAACTCACGAAGGAGTCGCTAAAGAAGTCTTTAGGTATGCTTCGGGTTAATCCTTCTATTAGATTTTTTTTTTTTTGATTCAGTACCACGAGTGATCTATTGTTACACTGTACTTCCGTTTTGCTTCACAATGGTCATTGATTGGTTGAGAGGACTAGCGTTATCCTTTTGGCCAAACAGTTGCAAAGCTAAAGGCACTTGTGACTCAAGGCTAGTTACTGTGAGCTCTCATTGGCTGTTTGTGATGTTGGCCTCCGCCCTGATTGGCTGAGATGATCAGTTTGGTTTTGGTTGATGTTAATCTTACTCAACTCAATGGGAACTCGCTCAATTTGAATTTTTCCGATTTGGTTTTGCGGCATTCAGCTCGAAAGTTGGTAATTTAATTCATCACCAGTCTTCATTCAGTATATTTGACATGCTTACAGAAGTTTCTTCGAGCAAAACTGAAGGAAATCAAACAGTCGCTTAATAATTGCGCACGCTTCATAATTACGTCATGATTGATTTAAGTAATGTTCCGGATTGGATGAAAAAACAGCATGTTTTTTGGAAACTTGGGCTCGACGAACATAAGCTGCGTTCACACTTAATGCTCGAGCGCGGTGCCCGAGTACGATTCTTGACTGACACTAGTGTGAACACAGCTTTTCTTCAAGTGCCCACGCCAAAATTAGGTTACTGAACCGGACGCTGATTTATCAGATACCTAGTGTCAGAATACAGCACGATTTTGTGCCGGTGCCCTGGCACTCATGTTCGGGCGCCAACTGTATGCGCAGCCATAGAAAAACAAGGGCACCACCTCCTTAACAGCAATCGGCTTCACGGGACGACTGCGTCGTTTTGCTTGGTATTTCAGATGGTGGCCTCGAAGGTCGCCCTTTAGGATTAGGGTGCATTTTAATTGTATACAGGGAACTAATTGAGTGAACATCGTGACAAACTATCGCATTGAAATAATTTGGATATATCAACAAAGTTGAAATGGTAAATTGGCCACCGTAACGAAAGCTGTTCTTGTTTCAAATTTTTGTAGGCGACGGAAACGTGACTGGAAAATTTGAATTGGATTACGATGAAAGTGAAGAAAACGCAAACGACGAAGAGGAAGAAACTGAGGTACGAGTCATGGTTTATTGAGTTATTATTTTATTTTTAACTCTTTGTATTATATCAACTATTAGTTGCACATGGTGAGTGATGAAAGCTATGTAAGCTTTCTCGGAGAAAAGGGTACTCAAAAAAAAAATTCATGAAAATGAGAAAAGTGAATCTCTGATCATGCAACTGTGCGAACATATCCCATAAAGCCGTTGGGTCTCATCGTTCACGGATCATGTTTTTCAGGTGTCAACGATTTTGTAATGGACTTGCTTCAAGTCCAAGGGAAGTTGTCATACTTGATGATATAGTTACTCCCAACGTTTTTATTTTGAGCGTTGCGTTTCAGACTGTTGTGCCGTGGAATTCCATGATTGATCCCGTTTTTGTCTAGTAACTGAGATTGGTACACCATTGGTACACCCATTCCTTTCTCTTCGACCGATATCGCCGTGTAAATGATAGACAACTTGGCAGGACAGCATTACACCAGGAAGGACGTGGAGCAAACGAGGAAACTGGAACGGAGTAATCCCGAATTTCTTTCGATACTCAATTTAAAACTACTCAGTGGAGCGTATTATGTAGAGTGATTTTAGGCGCTCGATGAAAAATTTTCTGTTGGTCTCGACTGTCAAGAAAACGAAAAGGATTCAAGCTGCGGTGTAGGGAAGTTTGTAAGAAACTAAGTTGCGTTTGATTCTCTCGCATTAATGAAGCGAGCAAATCACGAAAGAAGTCAATAAAACTGTTGTAATATTAAATCCTAAGTGTGCAAGGTGAATGAACAATTGTAGAAGAAAATGGTCAGAATATAAACAGTCCCAGAGGAAAAAAAGTGATTCCAAAATAGAAAGGAAGTCATATGGATATCACTGTTCTATACTGTGATTCTAAAACCGTTCTCCAAGAAGTTGTCGCGGAAGCAGTTAAGCACTGTCTGAAAATAGTCATAAAGAGTGTTATTTTCGCACCCACCTGTGCAACGCCCCCTATCAGTTTTACATGAGAGATTTCGCCTGCCTCTGAGGACACAACAATGTCTGATAAAATATACATTGAGTTTCCGCTCTAAAAAATATGGATAATAACCTTTTTTTTTTTTGCGAAAAGACGTGCGGGGGTGGGATGGAGAACATTGGAAAATAAAACAAAACATAAGGCCAGGCCGGTATGAATACCCAAAAAATATTCGTGTTCATCGAGAGACTGTGCAGAAAAAATGAAAGGATTACTTGTCCAGTTTTCTTTTTTTTCTGCTAGAAAATAGTCGAATTTTCTTTTGGTCTACGTTAATTTTTTACTCAGCCCTCGATCTTTTTTTTTTCTTTTTGTTTGATCATGTTCGTTACAATTGATAGTTTACAAAGAAGAAAATTCTCAAAGCCATCCAGTTGACGTCTCTTTTATCGCAATGCACGATCAATCAAAGAATGGGAATAACCTGGTTAAAGACCTTAAAAAACCAGGAAAGATTTATTACTCGACGTTTCGGGGTCATCGTGACTCCATTATCAAGAGACTAGTTTAAAAACATGCAAATAAGGAAAGGTACAAGAATAGCATAAATTAGACTGAACGGCTTAAACACTATAGTGAAATGCCTGAACGCTTGATCGAGCAATTCAACGTCATCACGAAATGTAACGGCAAATTTGATTGCCTTGTTAATGAAATGTTGTATATTCGCATGCGTAAGCCAACACTGAACGTGCAAACGGATTCCATCCGCGCCAAGGTGTTTGTTTAAGCCGTTCAGTCTAATTTATGCTATTCTTGTACCTTTCCTTATTTGCATGTTTTTAAACTAGTCTCTTGATAATGGAGTCACGATGACCCCGAAACGTCGAGTAATAAATCTTTCCTGGTTTTTTCTATGCCTTTGCTTTAGCAAATCCCTGCTGATCAAGTGTTTGAAAAGACCTTAAAGAACTTAAGAATGCCAAAACTTTGAAAAAGAAAGTTAAAAACGATTTACTCAGAAAACAAAATAGTGATATGAATTTTTTATGATATAGATGGTGATATTTTAGCATGTTTTTATTATTATGAATTTTTAGTATATTATACATATGTATTTTTCTTCTTAATAGGTTTTTAAACTGTGTACATCACATTACTATTACTTTCATTTATGTTTTATGTATTGATTAGATTACTTTAAAGAGGGCCACAGGGTCATCAGTTGTACTTAAACTGTTACGTGCTACCCTCTTAAAATAAAGTCATTATCTTATCTTAATGCGAACGAGTGTCTTAATCACTAGCCCGTAACCGCAAACACCGACATTCTCCACCCGCCCCCTGCCCCTCCCATTGTAGATCATTTCTATTTTTTCTGATAACCCCCAAAATTGCCTGAATAAGCACCAAACATTGTCAAATTTCAAGAACACGTAATCTGATAATCTACAGAATATGCAAATAAATACAAATTTATCCGTAGCAGAATAATTTAGATATAGCAACAAAGTTGAAATGGTAAATTGGCCACCGTAACGATTACAAAAGCTGACGCACAACCCACAATTCCTCTATTCGCTCCGACAAAGGGCCAACGCTCGAAACGTCAGCTTTTGTAATCGTTACGGTGGCCAATTTACCATTTCAACTTTGTTGATATATCCAAATTATTTCATTAACCCCACCGACGCAGCCCCAAACAGTTTCTTTCGAAACTATCAGCCTTTATCCATAGCAGAAACAGAAATGCAGGTTATTTCATATCCTCTTAGTGCCAGTCCCCGTAAAAAAAAATTATCGCTCATCTCAGCACTGGATGATTTCTCGCAATGCATGGACGGTGAGTATTTGAGGGCCGCTGTTAAATGTCAAATATATCATGCTGATATTTCGTTGAAAATTTTGGTAGTCTTGTCAACACTAGGCCATTTGCAGCTTACTCTATGGCCATTTCGTTACATTTACCTACCAGATTATTTAGATTTTGGTGACTTTTGATCGCAACAGGTAGGTAAAATCCGCCCGCGTAGCACCTGTACAAAGCTCTAAATATAGCCGTTGTTACATCCAGAAGCATTTTAACAACGGTTTCTCGGATTTGCAGATGCATTGGCCGGAAAATCGCGCCTCGATTTCCGGTCAATTTTTGTTTCCTAACCCGTCTAACACGGAATCCTCGACGTGGAAAATATCTTTGCCGTCCCTGAAATTTTAGACGAAGTTCAGTCGGGGGCCAGACGAAGGTCACTGGACCTACAGGGTCGTGTATATCAATACGGCATTTTGTCTCCGTTATGTCATAATGTACCTGTTGGCTAGTGTGTAATGGTTAAGTCTAGTATGCGAATTCGAAGGAATCTCGTGAATTCGTAGGCTGATTTTTCAAGGTACTTACTATATCGCAAGAAAATAAAAATGACAAATTTGTGTAATTTAAAAAAAAAAATCAGCAAATTCTAACTTTCTTCGGCAATCAATTTTCAAGGTAATGTTTCCAGGATCATAAATATTCTTCAAAGTATTTGCATATTTCGAAACATTTGCCGGTTTTTTCTTGAGCTGATCAAAATAAGTCACATGGTATATTTCGACCAATCAGGCGAGTAGTTCCCATGATGCACTGGTTTGTCTATGTTGTGATGCGCGCGCGTTTGGTTTTTTCACGTCCCCAAAACAACATGTCGTCTTCCGATCCTGTAATGACTTCTCCCAGTACCATCATTTCTTCCGAAAATAAATTAGCTGCCCTTTCTCAAACTCAGCCGGAGAAGCCTTTCCATTACACGTAGGTGTATTTGTGATTTTCTTTCCTTTGTGAGCATTTTTACGTGTTGTCATAATTTTTTTCCTTTCGAATCGTCCAGGTACTTGAAGGAGTTTCGGGTCGAGCAATGTCCACTATTTCTACAGCACAAGTGTACAGCTCACAGACCGTTCACCTGTTTTCACTGGCACTTCATGAATCAAAGAAGGAGGAGACCGAAAAAGAAAAGGGATGGCACCTTTAATTATAGTCCCGATGTTTATTGCACTCAGTACGATGAAACGTCAGGGATTTGCTCGTCCGGAGATGAGTACGTACCAGGGATTTTTGCTTGCATCTGCCTCGTTTATTTACGAACTCGAGGCCTTATACTGTTTATTTTTGTAACGGGCGATGAATTGCTGAGTTTTAGTCCTTTTCTCTTTCAGCTGTCCTTATTTACACCGTGTAGCTGGCGATGTGGAACGTCGATACCATCTTCGTTATTACAAAACTGCAACCTGTGTTCATGAGACCGATACTCGAGGATATTGTGTAAAAAATGGCCCACACTGCGCGTTTGCTCATGGACCACACGATCTGAGACAACCTGTATATGATATACGAGAATTACAAGCCATTGAGAAGGAGGAAACTGAAGTAGGTCAGGCAGGGATAGAGAATAACAAAGCAGTTCTAGAAGATCCCCGCTGGCAAGGTTTGTGTAGTACTGTACGTTTACCGTACGTTGCTTTAATGTACTCAGTGCTATCTTGATTTACACTTTTATGGTGATTTGGTCGTAACCGTAAAGTATACAGTCTTTGTCATTTCGCGTTGTTATGCATTTTAAAGGTAACAAATGACTGCAACCTTCGAGGCCCTATGATACGACCTCGAAACAGAGATAACAGTTAAATTGCGTTGAAGTTTACTACATTTTCGCCTTGAATTCGCAATGAAAACAAAATCCTCGGGCATCCCACCGTTAGAACCTCATTTTCATTGAAAAATATGGCGACTAATTCGTTTCCTTGATGGTAATAAACGCTAATGTGGTGAGAGATTTCTCTTCCGTTTAACAAAGTTGTGGTTCTTACGGGGTTATTCATTATTTATGGATTCTTCTATTGTCCTTACGGTTAAAATCTGATCGCAGTTAATCTTTAATCTTTCCCACTTGATCGTGGATGAGGAATTTCCAATGTTATATCGTTTACTGTCAAGTAGTTGTGCTTTCCCCACTTAATCGTGTACTATTACTTGTGTCCTGTCAAAAGCTGGTGTTTTTCCTCTCAAAGTAGTAGTCCTTTTGTAATGAAAATTGAGCTGTGTGCAAGATAATTATTTATTAGTGTTTCAATAAAATAATGGTAAACAGTTAATTTATCTCGGCCTCTTGCAGATATACAAGAGGCAACAAGCTGTTGATAGAGTATTTCTTATGTTTCTTAGATACCAACTATGTTTTATCAAGTTACAAGACTGAACCATGCAAAAAGCCACCAAGACTTTGTAGACAAGGCTATGCTTGCCCTCACTATCACAATAGCAGGGATAGACGACGCAGCCCAAGAAAATTTAGATACAGGTATTGTAGTAGTGTCCTCAGTGCCAGATTATGTATGTAAAATCAATGCAATAACTTATGCTGGTTTTTGAAGTTGAAAAATGCAAGCATAGGAAAGTGAAAATTTTTTCAACCTTTTTCCCTATGCCTGTGCAGTGGAAAACACACATGCAAAAACAGATCTGCATTGTTCCATTAAAAAATATCCATGTTCCCATCTTGAAGGTATTTTAAGTTTTAATCTCTTCCTTCCTTCTGAACATGCTACTTTTTCTTGTTATTTTCCTTAAAAGTAATTTGCTCTAACTGAAATTGATATTTACACAAATAACCAAAATTGAAATTTAAGGAAGAAATTTTTGCATGGTAATTAACATATGAAATAAATGCATACAACTTTAGTGGTCTAATGTTGGTTGTAGTTTTCCTTGACTCTTGATCAAGTTTCTGAAAGTGTAATTTTCTGATTTTAAAGTGGTGTTGTATTCTCCACCAGTGCTGTATGTGGTATTTTAGCGTAAGTGGGAGGTACTCATAAAAGCAAGAAGACTAAATTTTTTTACTGCTTATTGGTATGTTTTCCCCATTTCTGGAAAGTTGCCTCATTCTACCATTAATGCTGTGAATGTACTTTGTTCTGTCATCAAGGTCATTGCAAATTGCTTGGAAACATAAGTGTTGGGGAAACATGAAATTTAGTTGTTTCTCCCTTCTTCTTGAATAAGTTTTATCAAGAAATTTGATTTGAGACCGGATGGTATTGATTGTGTTTGAGCCAAAAAGCTTCATAGAATTTGAATCAGTCCTTCAGAGGCACCTAGGTGCTTGTTTTAAACCACTTAAAGCAAGCCTATGCAAAACACTTCTTGTTTGATTTCTGTTTCCTCATGGTTAGCACTTGTCATCATATTTTCCAAATGATAATTGTGACACTTAAAAATGATGTCAAAATTTGAGGGAAAACAATTATTTTTGTAATCCTGATAAAAGACAAGTCAAGCCCAGTAGTTTTTTAATTACAAACCATGCTGTATTTCAAGTTCATTTTCAGTTTGGATGATCACTTTTAGTAATACAAAAACCAGAAATGTAGGTGCAAACAAATTTAAAGCATAGAGCAGCCTTGCAACTAAGCTTTGACAGATAGAGGCATAAGCATCTGTTTGTCCAACCAATATAAAGTATGTATTTACTTTTCTAAGATTCAACTAATATTTTGTTGTCTTTCACTTGGTGTAATTGTTTGTTCACTGGAAGACTACCAACTTAGAACTACTCCATATTCAGAAAACAAACTTTCAAAATGCTTGTGGAGTGGTTTGTTTTATGTTAGGAGCGTGATATCAATAAGTTGAAAAGTGGCGTAATTTTGCTCTTGATATTGCATTTAGTCTCTTTTTGAAAATTGTAAAAACAAACACATTTGGCTCTTGAGTAACCTTATAAAGTTTTAAAGCAAGGCACCGTGCATTCTGATCAAAGTCATTGATTTCAGACTGTCGTAAAGTAATTATGTAACTTGAAGAAGCTATTATGTAGACCACTTTGGCCATCAGCAGACCAGTTTATATATTTCATTTGATTTGAATTCAAGGTCAACTCCTTGTCCTCATGTGAAGCATGGTGATGAATGGGGGGAGCCAACAAATTGTGAGAGTGGAGATAATTGCCCTTATTGCCACACAAGAACAGAACAACAATTTCACCCAGAGGTGTGTTGTAATAACATTAATGTGAATAAATCTTTGAAAGTTTCCTGGATTGACTACAGTGAAGAGTGTTGATGTAATTAAGGCATGTATTTACAGTCATTAAAGTCATAATTGAATTTAAGAAAGAGTGATGGTCACTTTTAGTTGCAAAGTGTACCAAGCAAATGGTTTGCAATACTCTATTAAAGAAGTTGTTAGAATCATGCTTACAAATTATAACTTAAAACTTAGCATTTATTCCCACAACTATGCTTATAACTCTGAAAGGAATGTCCTGGAAATCCTAGGAATAAAAATTAAAGACATGTACCTAACAAGCACACACTAACTAACTATCAGACCAAGATCTGTATTTCTGTATGGGTTCATGGCTTGTAAATTGAGAAATCTGTCAGATTTCATGCCCAAAAAAAATGTGTCCTGCTCTGTGACAGGACGACAGTGCCTTTGAAGATTGGTAAGGGTTGGTTAAATTTGATAGGATAAAAAATTGCAAGGTGTACCTGTCTCACTGAACTGATGACAAGATTTTTTTGCAAAATAAACAAAAATTTTCCAACTATACACAGGTCCTTAACTTAGACTTTGAAACAGCCAACTGCTGACCTCCTATTAATTGACATTGTGAGCAATTTATGTCCTGTTTCCTCTTTTGTGTGGTGGCTTAAAACATAATGTGTAAGAAGGTCATTTATTTTTGATATTTTTGACAGATTTACAAGTCAACAAAATGTAATGATATGCAACAGACAGGCTATTGTCCCAGAGGACCTTTCTGTGCTTTTGCACACGTAGACCGTAAGTATTTGGACCTGACTTAGGCTTGACATGCACTTTCTTTCCTTTTTTTATGCTTACAAAAATGACCAAGGAGTCACTTTTCCATGTCGTTCATGTTGGTTTTCAACACAAGAAGTTAATAATTTTAAATCATCTCAAGATAATCATCTGATTTACATAAACAGGTCACATGTTTGAAAAGTTTGCAGCAGGTTATTCATTTGCCTCAATTGTTCAATGGCAGGCAATGTTTGAGTTATACTTGAAATGTTCTCCCACAAGGTTTTCTAGCAGCCTTTTTTGAAATTGTTATGCAGTATTGTTCTTTTTTTTTTTTTTTTCGAGGAATTATAAATAACCTAACTGAACCGCTTTAAAAAAATGGGAAATGATAGTTTCTTTTTGCCCTTTCAGGTAATAATAATAATAATAATAATAATAATAATAATAATAATAATAATAATAATGATAATAGGGTGGATGCACGCATTGTAAATCATATGTGCAAGAGAGTTGTGACGCTGGAAATGAGCTGCCCGTGGGTTAACAATCGGACAGGAAAGGATGAAGAGAAGACACTGAGGTACGGAC